CATGGTACCTCCCTATATTCGGTAATTTGATGATTTTAGCTACATTATAAACAGTTTTTTTCGAGTTTTGCATTTGAATATTGTAATGGCTTGTGACAAAAGTTGCCTATGCTGGTCCAAATCGTCGTATAATATACGGCTATATTCGTTATTTTTAAGATTTTAACAGAATTTTGAAAGGATTTTATTTTTTTGAAAATTGTTAAATTTGTACCAAATTTGTATCAAATTTCGACCCGGCCGAAATTACAGCTTTTTTTACTTGTTTTCATTTACAATTATATGAGTATGTATTCAATTATATAAGTATATTATAAATTTAATACATATATATAGCTCTGGCTACAAAGGCATTAAGCTAGTTAAATTATTTATATATATGTTAATATTTAGTAATTTATTAATTTTGGAATATGTGGCAATTACACAGCCTTTACAGAATTATTTTTATCTGGTCAATTCTTGGTATAATGATATCATTTTGTAGATAGGTTTTAATTTTCTCTTTTTTTTTTTGGTTATTTATAACATTATACCAATCTGATATATTGCCCCAAGTGAAAATTCTTTATCAATATTTTTAATAACGACCCATAATATATATTTATACCCTACACCACAAGGTGGTCAGGGTATTATGTCTTTGTGCATTTGTTTGTAACAGGCAAAAGGAAACGAGATAGACCCATAGTTCCTTTTGATTATCTGCATAGAATCACATTCTGAGTCGATTTATGCATGTCCGTCCGTACGTCTGTCCGTCCGTCCATGTTTTTTTGTAAACAAAGTACAGTTCGCTTTTATTGCCCTATCCAGATGAAATTTTGCACAAATCATTTGTTTGGCCCAAGGACGAGCCCTATTGAAATTGGAGATAATCGGTCAAAATTTAGATCAAGCTCCCATATATCTTCGTCCGATTTGCCTTTTATTGTGCACCAAACGTGTAATATCAGTCCGAATAGTATGGAATTTTGCACGTACGATCAGATTGGACCTCAGTATGAGTAGTATGCCAAATTTGATCGAAATCGGTTCAGATATAGCTATAGCTCTCATATATATTGTTCATATGATTTGTTATTTTTGTCCTCCGCAGCCGTAATATGCACTCTGTACCAACAATATTTGTGGAAATATATCAAATACAGCTCAGAAATACATTTGCTAATTTTTATCGAGATCGGTACAGATTTGGATATAGCTCCCATATATAACTTCGTCCGATTTACCCTTTATTGTGCACCAAACCGAATTGAGTCTAGAAGCTAGTATGTCAAATTCGAAGATCGGTTCACATATAGAATTTTCCCAATATCCTTCTATTGTCAAAGGGTAAGCCATAGTTATTCTAGTTGTACGATGAGGTTCGAGTGCAATTCGAACTGCTGAGATAGATGACGTTTTGATTTTCTTCAAATTTGATTTAGGAGTATCCTGTAAAGTGGAGTATTCCGTAAATTATTTGAGGTAATGATAGAAGTTAGAGTTTAGGCGTTACATTGAAACTTGCTGTTTGATAAACATTTATGCATGTGAAGCTTACTTTGTAGAGAAAAAATAATTCATCGATATGCGAATTCCATTTTTATTTGTTGTTAATTGTAATTCCGAGTATTTTTAATTTTTCAACGGATGCAATTGTGCTATTTTTGCAAACAAGTCCAAGAGAACAATTTCGCTTTTGACGGATAGAAAATAATTACACTTTTCCAGTGAAAGTTGATCACCAGAAAATGAGCACCACCATCCAATGTCAGTTAAATCATTTTTAGGATGGCAGAAGTTTATATATTGCTACATAACTTTTTTATAATTACGAAATCATCCGCATATGCCACAAATCTGATAGCCCTATGAGATTGTAGTATTTGAGTAAGTTTATTGACTGACGTCGTTCAATTCAAACATGTTTATATATTCTATTGGATTCGCGTGTTTGTTAGCAACTAAATATGTATGGTCACGTGCATTAATTTTCTTTGTTGACTGGAATTCATAAGAATTGATGAATCAGGCCACACTTCGCAAAAAACATTGGAAATGTCTGACGCGTCTGTTTGTCTGTTAGAAGCTTTTCTGCTAATATATTAACAGTATTAAAGTGGAGTATTCCGTAAATTATTTGAGGTAATGATAGAAGTTAGAGTTTAGGCGTTACATTGAAACTTGCTGTTTGATAAACATTTAAGCATGTGAAGCTTACTTTGTAGAGAAATTAATTCATCGATATGCGATTTCCATTTTTATTATACCCCCCACCTTGGAAAGGAGGGTATATTAACTTTGTCATTCCGTTTGTAACATCCTTAAATATTCGTCTTTGACCCCATAAAGTATATATATTCATAATCAGCATAAAATTCTAAGTCGATTTAACGATGTCCGTCTGTCTGTCTGTCCGTATGTCTGTCTGTTGAAATCACGATACAGCCCACATTATTTGACGTAGAGCGCCAAAAATTAGCAGAGCAATTGGTATTGTGTCCAGGATGGTTGGTATTGAAAATGAGATATATCGATCCACGTTCTGGTATAGTCCCCATATAACGGTACCTCCCGATATTCGGTATTTTGATGATTTATGCCACATTTTTTCACGGATTTGTCTGAAAATTGGTATTTGTAGGTCATAACGGGTCCCTGTACGTGTGGCAAAACATTGCATGTATAGGTCCACGTTTTGGTATAGCCCCCATATAAAGGTACCTCCCAATATTCGGTATTTTAATTATTTTTGCCACATTTTTTCACGGATTTGTCTAAAAATTGGTATTTGTTGGTCATAATGGTTTCCAGCTCCGGTGGCGAAACATTGCATGTATGGTCCATGATTTGGTATAGCCCCCATATAACGGTACCCTCCGATATTCGGTATTTTTTCTAATGTTTCCTTTACCCTAAGGTGGAGGGTATTAAAAGTTTGGCCCGGCCGAACTTAATGTTCTTTTACTTGTTTGTTGTTAATTGTAATTCCGAGTATTTTTAATTTTTCAACGGATGCAATTGTGCTATTGTTGCAAACAAGTCCAAGAGAACAATTTCGCTTTTGACGGATAGAAAATAATTACACTTTTTCAGTGAAAGTTGATCACCAGAAAATGAGCACCACCATCCAATGTCAGTTAAATCATTTTTAGGGTGGCAGAAGTGTATATATTGCTACATAACTTTTTTATAATTACGAAATCATCCGCATATGCACAAATCTGATAGCCCTATGAAATTGTAGCATTTGAGTAAGTTTATTGACTGACGTCGTTTAATTCCATCATGTTTATATCTTCTATTGGATTCGCGTGTTTGTTAGCAACTAAATATGTATGGTCAGGTGCATCAATTTTCTTTGTTGACTGGAATTCATAAGAATTGATGAATCAGGCCACACTTCGCAAAAAAACATTGGAAATGTTGTGACGGGCCAAAAGTCGGAACCTCGTTTTTGGGCCACAAAATTAAATAAAATATTTGAATTATAAATGTATTAATATTTTATTTGGAATCATGTTTTATGTTATGTGACACAATAATTGAATTACTAGTTATTTAAAGAAAATATATGAAATTTATGGTATTCGGTTTTGTTTTTGAAATTAACGGTCAAACTGATCCCCCTAGTGGTCATATGATAGACTAACCCTGAACAACGACGATGAGATCCGTACGGCGTCAAAATATAATCAGTCGACATCGAGCCACTGAAACAGTATAAAAGGAGGCGAAATCGACACAATCGGGACAGTCTTCTGTGGATGGCTGTTGTGCTAAGTGGGGTTTTTAACGTTCCCTTGGCAGTAAATTTAGTTAGTTTGTGTAGTCTAGAGAGTTAAGTGGGGTTTTTAACGTTCCCTTGGCTCTAAGGTTTCTGTGTGTGTGTCTCGGCTGTTGAGTGGAGTGGGGCTTTAACGTTCCCTCCCTCTCCAGACATATGTTGGTGTGGGCTTTAGAGTTGAGTGGGGTTTTAACGTTCCCTCGGCTCTAAGGTTTGTGTGAGTGTCTCGGCTGTTGAGTGGAGCGGGGTTTTAACGTTCCCTCCTCTCTCAGACCGCAGTGAGAGCAGTCGGTAGGGTTGAGTGGGGTTTTAAACGTTCCCTCGACTCGTGCTGTCATCGGGCTGCCGCTGTGCCTAGCTGCTGCCAACCTTCGTGTGCTGCCATCGGGCTGCCGTTATTCTTCGTGTGCTGTCATCGGGCTGCCGCTGTGCCTAGCTGCTGCCAACCTTCGTGTGCTGCCATCGGGCTGCCGTTATTCTTCGCGTGCTGTCATCGGGCTGCCGCTGTGCCTAGCTGCTGCCAACCTTCGTGTGCTGCCATCGGGCTGCCGTTATTCTTCGTGTGCTGTCATAGGGCTGCCGCTGTGCCTAGCTGCTGCCAACCTTCGTGTGCGGCCATCGGGCTGCCGTTATTCTTCGTGTGCTGTCATCGGGCTACCGCTGTGCCTAGCTGCTGCCAACCTTCGAGTGCTGTCATCGGGCTGCCGCTGTGTTTTGCTGCCGTCATTCTGCGTGCGTCGTCATCGGGCTGCTGCCTTGCCTAGCTATCGACGATCTTCGTTTGCCGTCATCGGACTGCCGCTACCGCAAATATTCGGGTGTCGTCCTCGCCGTGCTGCTACAGTGTGTTGTGTGTTATCAAAACTACAAATGTGTGAAATGAATAATTTAGTGAAATCAATAAATTTTATAACGTTGATAAAAAAATAAACAGTCTTCCTCTCTTATATGTCCCACAACATAAATAAATTCTTGTGACGACCCTGGCCCTCCGTTGAACTATCCCAGCTTCAAAGTGAAAACATGTCGTCACAATGGCGCCCGAGCAGGGACATTAAGAGAGAGAAAAAAACAACAATATCTATAGACGTGTTAAATGAAAAACAAAATAAAATATTGACACCTAGAAGAAGCAAGACTTTAGAGACAGTGATAAACATTCCGTGGTGTAAAAATAAATAAATTCGTGAAAAAAAACAAAGGAAAACCGAATTACAAAATAGTAAAGATGTTACGAGTATCCTGGGCATACACCTTGAAACAAGAAGATCTAGTGGCGTATCTTTTGGAATTTCAACTAGATTCTACTGGGAGAGTGGACGATCTTCGCAAGCGATGGGCGAAATTCTTAAATCAAGATCACGACGAAGCAACAAGGAAAAGATTGCATGAATTGCAAAATAAACATGAAAACGGGAACATTCCATCCACATCAACTTTCCGCTCTCCGTCAAAACTGCCGATGATTACTATTTCCCCAAGTGATACAATCAATAAATCGCCAGTAAAAGCTGAGAAATCAACCTACCCCGTTTATCAAACCATGGATCCAACTAAAGTGACCAGTGAAGACCGGCAAAGCCAAGAATCAACGCTGAAAACCGAGAACGTTCCTCCGTTAGCTAACCTTCCTGGAACGGAGCATAGTCCGATTCAGCGTCCAGTCAACCTGCTTGATCAAATACATAAGTGGAACATCAAATTTAACCAGGGCAGGGATCCTATAGAGTTTATAGAACGCATAGAAGAACTAGCGCTAATTTACGGAGTAGAATTAAACCATCTTATAAAAACTATGCCGGAACTTTTTCAGGATAAGGCTCTCATATGGCTGAGGAACAATAACGGACACTGGATAAGCTGGAAAGAATTCAAGAGAGATTTCCTAAATTTCTTTTTACCTCCAAGATATTTTGAAAAACTAGATGACGAAATCAGAAAAGGAGTACAAAGACCCAAGGAATTTTTCAAGGAGTACGTCTTGGCCATCCAGAAGCTAATGCAACACGCGGAAATGACGGAAGAACAAAAGCTGGAACGTATTTTTAGAAATTCCCTAGCAGAATACCAGTGGTACATAAGACGCAAAGACTTTAACTCCTTGTCGGAATTGATTAAGCTAGCAGATGACATGGAAAGTATTCCAAATACCGTCCGACATGAACCACCACGCCATTACCAGAACTTCAATCGAAATACAGATTATTCAAAACCTAACTCTCACCGCATAGAAAGAAATTATTGGGCTACGGAAGAGCCGGTCCCAAAAAGAAATTACAAAACTTCATTTAAATGCGTGGCAAACCGACTAACCGCCACAATGGTCATTGAAGGACGACTAGTAACCGCTACAGTGGACACGGGGGCCACAAGTTGTTTTATAAAAAAGGAGTTAGCCGAAGAATTGAAGCAAAATCCAGTGTATAATCGACACCAAACAAATGTTATTCTTGCAGATGGGACCGCTGTTAATATTACCAAGTCAATTACGCTCTACGTAATTTTTGGAAGTCAAAGTACAGAAATGCCATTCCTAATAATGCCCAAATTCAAAGAAGATATCATCATTGGTCTGGAATTTTTCAAGCGATTCCCCACTACGATTTATTGTGCCGGACTCAGCGTGACACTCTACGAACCGGAACGGCAAACGGAACAGTGTATCATGGTCAGCGAGGCTAACCCTACCCAGAAAGAGGTAAGAAAAGCAGTTATATGTGGTCGACCCGCGGAAATATTACCCCAAAATAGAATAAGCAATAATCAATTAAGTGACGAGCAGCAAAGAGTCATGCAAAAATTCATTTCAGAAGAAATACCACTTTTCGAACGGATAAAAGGGCTCTCCAATATAACTGAACATAAAATTGTCATGACGGATGATAAAATAAAATTAAGGTATGCTCCCCGAAACCCAGCCATGCAAGCAATCATAGACGCAGAGGTGAATAAGCTAATTGATCAAGGATGTGTTGAACCCTCAAAAAGTCCATACAGTTTCCCTATAACTTTAGTAAAAAAGAAAAATGGAGACTGGCGAACGCGTATGGATTTTCGACAATTAAATAAAAGGTCTGTACCGGATGCCTACCCATTGCCACGTATAGACACGATATTAAATCGGCTAAGAGATGCAAAATTTGTAAGTAGCTTAGATCTGAAAAACGGTTATTGGCAGATTCCCTTGGCTGCGGACAGTCGAAAGTATACTGCGTTTGCAGTCGCCGGGAAAGGACTCTACCAATGGAAGGTTATGCCGTTTGGATTGCACTCGGCACCAGCAACTTTCCAGCGAGCCCTAGATAGTGTCATCGGGCCGGAAATGGAACCAAATGCTTTTGCGTATTTGGATGACATTATAGTCATAGGAAGAACATTCGAGGAGCATCTTACAAATTTGAGGAATGTATTTGTCCGACTCCGGGCCGCTAACCTTAAAATTAACATGGACAAATGCGAGTTTTTCAAGAAGGAGACAAAGTATTTGGGCCACGTAGTTAGCGGGGATGGTATCAAAACTGATCCGGACAAGGTGGCGGCCATCAAAGGAATGAAATCCCCGACGTCAGTAAAGGAAGTACGGCGCTTCCTCGGAGTTGCATCGTGGTATAGAAGATTTGTTCCACAATTTGCAATCATCTCACAGCCACTAACCAGCCTATTAAAGAAGGGTAAGCATTGGAAATGGGGACAGGAACAACAAATGGCATTCGAAACACTTAAGGCGAAATTAACCGAGGCCCCCGTATTGGCATGTCCAGATTTCACCCAACCATTTACCCTCCAGACAGATGCCAGTAATTATGGATTAGGAGCAGTCCTCACTCAAGAATTAGAGGGAGAGGAGCGGGTGATAGCGTATGCCACCAGACACTTAAACGAGGCTGAGAAGAACTATTCGGCTACCGAAAAAGAGTGCCTCGCTATAATTTGGGGCATAAGGCAAATGCGCCCATTTTTGGAGGGCTACCAATTTATTGCAATTACGGATCACCTCGCGCTTAAATGGTTGAACTCAATAGAGAGTCCTTCACGAAGATTGGCACGATGGGCCCTCGAGCTCCAACAATATTCCTTCGTTGTGAAATACCGTAGAGGAAAACAAAATGTTGTAGCAGACACACTCTCGAGGCAACCAGTGGAGATTTTGGAATTAGCCACCATCAAGGAAAGTCAGAATGGATGTCCTTGGATAGACAAATTGAAGGAAGGCATCGTAAAGAATCCAAAAAAATATCCGGATTATACCCTTATTGATGACCACGTATATCGGCATTTACCTCGGCAAGCAAACGACGACGACTGCACTTGTGTGTACCAATCACATCCAGGGAGAGGGTACTAGAGGAAAATCACGATAGTCTCGCCGGTGGTCACCTGGGCATGCGGAAAACTAGTCACAAAGTGGCTAACCGATACTTCTGGCCGGGTATGTTCCAGGATATAAAACGATATGTAAGAAAATGTGCATTGTGCCAAAAATATAAATCAAGCCAACAACAACCGGCTGGCGAAATGTTAACTCGAGTCCCCGAGGAACCATGGGCCACAATATGTGCGGATTTCGTGGGACCTCTTCCGCGGTCGACTCACGGAAACTCGATGCTGTTGGTAATTATGGATCGTTTCTCGAAATGGACAGAACTAATACCCCTTAGAAAAGCCACAACGGATGGTTGTCGAGAGAGGATAGTTTCCCGGTATGGCGTACCAAAGATGATTATTACGGATAATGGCGCCCAGTTTACCAGTGCAAAGTGGGAGAAATTCTTTAAGGAAATGGGCATAAAACACCAGCTAACAGCGCCATATACTCCCCAAGAGAACCCTACTGAAAGAACTAACAGAACTGTTAAGACTATGATTGCGCAAGTATCCCGGCAACATCATAATAAATGGGACGACGCGTTGCCTGAAATTATGTTGGCTATTAATACTAGTGCCTCCGAATCCACAGGATATTCCCCGGCATTTCTAACACAAGGCCGTGAACCTAGGCTACCACAGGCCTTATACGACCAAGTTACGACTGGAACAGGTGCCAGAATAGTTTTACCTGAAGACCGAGCACTGGAATTAAGGGAAATATTTATAATAGTCCGACGAAATCTAGCCAAAGCAGCACAAAATCAGAAACGACACTACAATCTCCGACATCGGGCATGGAAACCAAAAATTGGGGAAAAGGTTCTTATTAGATTGCACCCCCAATCAAGAGCCATCGATAACTTTGCGGCGAAACTGGCCCCGAAATATGGGGGCCCATATGTGGTGGAAAAATATAAATCACCAGTAATTGTGGTGGTCAGGGCGAACGAAAAGGACATGCGTACAGTGCATGTCAGTGGTCTTAAGAAGTATTTCGAATAAATTAAAACATTATTTCGGAGAGGCTTTATGTAGAAGATCTATAACTTAATATTCCTCTATCATTTAGACCGTTTGTGTGTTTCATTGTTTTGTTTTCTTTTTTTTTTCTTTTAGACAACGACGGTATTAGCCAAAAAGTAATTTAAGAAAGAAAATATATAAATATAATAACAAATACGTGTTTAAGATAAGTTCTGAAATTGTTATCTACATCTCACAACACACTGCGATTATGGACGGAGATAGTCCAAAGACAAAAAAATTTAAGGAAGCGATGAAAAAATTCCGTACCCACTTTGAGAGGGCAGAGTCACAGCGACGTCGAACCATTTTTATTGATGACGATGATATTCCGAGTACCAGCCGCAATGCACCGAGACGATGTACAAAACAACAGGATCGCCCTCCATCCCTAAGAGGCGAAGATCATATATTCTTTAGAATGGAAGAAACAGCCAATAATATCGCAGACGTACGCCCGACATTCCCAGATACACATGGCAAAAATAATGAAAAGCGCACAGAAAGGCAAGGTTCACCACGTCCGAATGGTGCCACCGTACATCCTGAGGTACCACGAACACCAATATACATATCATGCAGTGAGTCAACTCAAGATAGTACCGATATGTCCGATATAAACACTACCCACTACTTCCATATATTCCGATCACGCCGGGAAAGAATTTTGCCAATTACTCCGACGAAAAATCCACGCTTCCACGACCACCGATGGAGACGAGCGGCGAATCATCTGTTTCAGACATAGATGAAGATGAGTGGCGTAACTTCTATGGGTATGAGGATAAGAATATAGAGAAGAAGTCGCCGACAGCACCTCCTAGTCCATCATCCACCGAGTCCGATGAAGAAAACTACAAATGCCCAAGTCCAAAGCCTAGGAAAGGTTTGGGTTTCATCGAGCAGAAAAATCGTGAGTATCGCTATTTGGGGTTCAGATGCTACGAACGAACTGTCACTGTAAAATTGCTGGTTCCGGATCAGGATAAAACACCGATACTAGCCATCAACGGAGAAGAAATTAGTAAGGCCTTATCCGCAGAACCAAGTATATATGATCAAATGCCCGATTTGGAGCCAAGTTCCCCCGGATAACTATCCTAGTGACTTGCGGGACATTATTGTCAAATTCCTGAGTAGGTCCAAAAGGGGCAAACGGGCCAGAAAATTAATCCGACTACGGGATCAACAATACCGAATTACCGTCACGGCCAATGGTGCAGTGATGGTCTTCCACAAACATCTCTACGGAGGCCTCCAAAATTCACCCGAATTCACGCTAGGTGAAAGGACGTAGAAATTGAGGAGGCGAGAATATTAAATTGAACAATTCGCTGGGCTTCCGCCTGTTGATATGCAACAGGCTAGACGAAGCCACATAAGATTGAAAACAAATCAGGGGAGAGATGGGAGGCCTTGTGACGGGCCAAAAGTCGGAACCTCGTCTTTGGGCCACAAAATTAAATAAAATATTTGAATTATAAATGTATTAATATTTTATTTGGAATCATGTTTTATGTTATGTGACACAATAATTGAATTACTAGTTATTTAAAGAAAATATATGAAATTTATGGTATTCGGTTTTGTTTTTGAAATTAACGGTCAAACTGATCCCCCTAGTGGTCATATGATAGACTAACCCTGAACAACGACGATGAGATCCGTACGGCGTCAAAATATAATCAGTCGACATCGAGCCACTGAAACAGTATAAAAGGAGGCGAAATCGACACAATCGGGACTTTAAAGAAGGTGGCGTTACGTCGCATGTTTAGTTTATAAGCAATTTAGCAGTAAGCCATACTGTCTAGTCTTTAAGAATTTCTTCAATAAAAAATGGCTATGGTCAAAACAAACACAATCGGGACAGTCTTCTGTGGATGGCTGTTGTGCTAAGTGGGGTTTTTAACGTTCCCTTGGCAGTAAATTTAGTTAGTTTGTGTAGTCTAGAGAGTTAAGTGGGGTTTTTAATGTTCCCTTGGCTCTAAGGTTTTTGTGTGTGTGTCTCGGCTGTTGAGTGGAGTGGGGTTTTAACGTTCCCTCCCTCTCCAGACATATGTTGGTGTGGGCTTTAGAGTTGAGTGGGGTTTTAACGTTCCCTCGGCTCTAAGGTTTGTGTGAGTGTCTCGGCTGTTGAGTGGAGCGGGGTTTTAACGTTCCCTCCTCTCTCAGACCGCAGTGAGAGCAGTCGGTAGGGTTGAGTGGGGTTTTAAACGTTCCCTCGACTCGTGCTGTCATCGGGCTGCCGCTGTGCCTAGCTGCTGCCAACCTTCGTGTGCTGCCATCGGGCTGCCGTTATTCTTCGTGTGCTGTCATCGGGCTGCCGCTGTGCCTAGCTGCTGCCAACCTTCGTGTGCTGCCATCGGGCTGCCGTTATTCTTCGTGTGCTGTCATCGGGCTGCCGCTGTGCTTTGCTGCCGTCATTCTGCGTGCGTCGTCATCGGGCTGCTGCCTTGCCTAGCTATCGACGATCTTCGTTTGCCGTCATCGGACTGCCGCTACCGCAAATATTCGGGTGTCGTCCTCGCCGTGCTGCTACAGTGTGTTGTGTGTTATCAAAACTACAAATGTGTGAAATGAATAATTTAGTGAAATCAACAAATTTTATAACGTTGATAAAAAAATAAACAGTCTTCCTCTCTTATATGTCCCACAACATAAATAAATTCTTGTGACGACCCTGGCCCTCCGTTGAACTATCCCAGCTTCAAAGTGAAAACATGTCGTCACAATGTCTGACGGGTCTGTTTGTCTGTTAGAAGCTTTTCTGCTAACGTATTAACAGCGTAAATGATGTATCAAAAATTAAAAAGTTTATTTATAAAAACCATACACAAGCCGAGGCAACGGTAGATGATTTGGGGAAAAAGATGGAAACAATAGAAGAGACCATAGGGCTTTTGATCACTAATGGAGTAAACGAAAAAAGGAAAGTGTACAAGAAGCTTACTTTGTAGAGAAATTAATTCATCGATATGCGAATTCCATTTTTATTTGTTGTTAATTGTAATTCCGAGTGTTTTTAATTTTTCAACGGATGCAATTGTGCTATTGTTGCCAACAAGTCCAAGAGAACAATTTCGCTTTTGACGGATATAAAATAATTACTCTTTTCCAGTGAAAGTTGATCACCAGAAAATGAGCACCACCATCCAATGTCAGTTAAATCATTTTTAGGGTGGCAGAAGTGTATATATTGCTACATAACTTTCTTATAATTACGAAATCATCCGCATATGCCACAAATCTGATAGCCCTATGAGATTGTAGTATTTGAGTAAGTTTATTGACTGACGTCGTTTAATTCAAACATGTTTATATCTTCTATTGGATTCGCGTTTTTGTTAGCAACTAAATATGTATGGTCACGTGCATTAATTTTCTTTGTTGACTGGAATTCATCAGAATTGATGAATCAGGCCACACTTCGCAAAAAACATTGGAAATGTCTGACGGGTCTGTTTGTACTGAGAAAGTAACTCCTATAAGCTTTTCTGCGAACGTATTAAAAGCGTTAATGATGTATCAAAAATTAAAAAGTTTATTTTTAAAAACCATACACAAGCCGAGACAATGGTAGATGATATGGGGAAAAAGATGGAAACAATAGAAGAAACCATAGGGCTTTTGATCAATAATGGAGTAAACGAAAATAGGAAAGTGTACAAGAAATAAATGTTGTTTTGCCATGAAGTAATTCATGTATTTTAAAAAAATAACTACTTTTAAAGACGAAGAAAGCATGCATTCCATATCCTGTATGAATGGGTACATGAAGCAAACTTTTATGGTATACCAGTTGTGAAACAAATTTTGTATTGTAGAATGTTGCTTATGTAAAATATGAAAAATGAGTTTGCATTTCCAAAATTAAAAAATATATATCCCCAGATGAATGATACTAACGCCTTTAAAAATAATGTATGTATTTATTAAATCGTATGTGCTTTGATACATACAATTGTTTTAAAATAAAAATGACTTCAAATATAATCAAATCAGATAATAATAAAAATAAGTAAAATATCTGTAAGTTCGGCCGCGCCGAACCTTGAATACCCTCCACCATTTGTAACGATCTTGGCAATTCTCAAAAACAATAAAATCCGTTAAAAATTCAATTAAAATCTTAAAAATACCGCATCTAGCTATTATATTAGGGTCTATACGACGACATGAACCTGCGTAGGTAACATTTGTCATAAGCCCTTACAATATTCAAATGCGAAAGTTAAAAAAATCGGTTACAATGTCGATAAAATCAAAATACCGAAAATCGGGAGGTACCGTAATATGGGGTCTATACCAAAACGTGGACCTACATGCTCCATTTTCAAAAGTCAAAAGTCCTGCAGACATAACATACATTTGAGCAAAATTTTATCAATCTACTTCAATTCGTTCGGTATTTTGATGATTTCAGCGACACTATTTACTGGAATTATTTCAAATTTTGTATTTGAGGTTCGTAATGAATACTACAGCCTATGACAGAAAATTGTCTGTGCAGGTCCACGTTTTATAACCCCCGTGGTACCTCACTATATTCGGTAATTTGATGATTTTATCTACTTTATAAACAGTGTTTTTTCGAGCTATGCATTTGAATATTGTAATAGCTTGTGGCAAAAGTTACCTATGCTGGTCCACGTCGTCGTATAGACCCTATTATACGGCTACATTCGCTATTTTTAAGATTTTAACAGCATTTTTAACGGATTTTATTTTTTTTTTTTTTGAAATTTTCCCGGCCGAACTTACAGCTTTTTTACTTGTTTTCATTTACAATTATATGAGTATGTATTCAATTATATGAGTATATATGTATATATATATATATATATATATATATATATATATATATATATATATATATATATATATATATATATATATATATATATATATATATATATATACATATATATATATATATACATATATATATATATATATATGTGTATATTATAAATTTAATACATATATATTGATCTGGCTACAAAGGCATTAAGCTAGTTAAATTATTTGTACATAAGTTAATATTTAGTATTTTTTTAATTTTGGAATATGTGAGTCCAATTTTTATTTACAGTTAAACTGAAAAGGAATTATAAAGGTTAAATAATTTTAATAATTTTATTATATCTTGTTTCTAAGATGTATTTTCTTGATTTTGTATTATGTCCAGTACATTATTATTGGGAAAGATTGATTTAGTAGAACATTTATATTGTATTTATATTGGCAAATCATTAAATAGTGATTCATATCAAATATGCTAGAATTACAAAATTGGCACTATTTTATGTCTTTGTTGATGACATGATCGTGTGCTGAACAGCAATTACCCAACATTTACAGAATTATTTTTATCTGGTCAATTCTTTGCATAATATTATCATTTTGTAGACAGGTTTTAACTTTCTCTTTTTTTTTTGGTTTTTTATAATTTTATACTAGTCTGATGTATTGCCCCACATACTTACTATTAATTTTCTGCTACAAGAGATGATTCAAAGATTTTGCGATTTTGTAGCTCGTAAAATTGTTGGCTTTAAATTTAAATAAATTTATAGTATTCGTACTTTTTGAGGATATTGCAGAATTCGTATTCATAAAATTCTGATGTTGTGTTTTCCTTGCGATACTTGTGAAGAGATGTATCCATCAGTAATGAATTTGAAATCCAAAAAGGATTTTTAGCTAGTACAAATTTGCGGATATGTGGAATTTTAAACTTATCACAATAATTCCTTATACGATTTAGCGCTAATTCAGATGTCGAAAGTTTTTATTTTAATTGTAATGTAGGTGGACATTTCCCAATAGCCTTCTATTGTCAAAGGGTAAGCCATAGTTATTCTAGTTGTACGATGAGGTTCGAGTGCAATTCGAACTGCTGAGATAGATGACGTTTTGATTTTCTTCAAATTTGATTTTGGAGTATCCTTTAAAGTGGAGTATTCCGTAAATTATTTGAGGTAATGATAGAAGTTAGAGTTTAGGCGTTACATTGAAACTTGCTCTTGGATAAACATTTATGAATGCGAAGCTTAATTTGTAGAGAAATTAATTCATCGCTATGCGAATTCCATTTTTATTTGTTGTTAATTTTAATACCGAGTATTTTTAATTTTTCAACGGATGCAATTGTGCTATTGTTGCAAACAAGTCCAAGAGAACAATTTCGCTTTTGACGGATGTGAAAATAATTGCACTTTTCCGGTGAAAGTTGATCACCAGAGAATGAGCACCACCATCCAATGTCAGTTAAATCATTTTCAAGGTGGCAGAAGTGTATATATTGCTACATAACTTTTTTATAATTACGAAATCATCCGCATATGCCGCAAATCTGATAGCCCTATGAAATTGTAGTATTTGAGTAAGTTTATTGACTGAAAGTGGAGAGCCTTGAGGTATTCCATTATAAAGATGTCTTGATTCTGATAGGTGAGAGTTAACTCTGATTATTATTTGTCTATTAGTAATATAGTTTTTGATTTTAATTATTTATTTTAGGTCCATTCTTCCAATTGACTAAGTATTGCATGCAAGCCGATTTTTTTCGAAAGCTTTTGCAAAACAAGACATATATATTGGTTTTGATGGAGTTATTTATATAATAATAAAGGAAAATAAGATTTTCAGCTATGTACTTACCCTTTTTTAAATACAAATTTAAATGGTCTAATATTTTTTTTTTAGTGATAATAAACCACCACATTCTTTTAGCAACGTGAATCCGCTTCAGGAATAGGTACAAGAGGGCTATTTTTGTAAAATGAATGAGTTACATATGTTATTATAAAGTGAAACTAAACGTACTTTACAATTCGGCCCTAGGTTCCTGATCATTTCACAGTTTATCCAATCTATCCTTTGAGCTGATCAAGGGCGAAGTTTAATTCAAACATGTTTATATCTTCTTTTGGAATCGCGTTTTCGTTAGCAACTAAATATGTATGGCCACGTGCATTAATTTTCTTTGTTCACTGGAATTCATCAGAATTGATGAATCAGGCCACACTTCGCAAAAAACATTGGAAATGTCTGACGGGTCTGTTTGTACTGAGAGAGTAACTCCTAGAAGCTTTTCTGCGAACGTATTAACAGCGTAAATGATGTATCAAAAATTAAAAAGTTTATGTTTAAAAACCATATACAAGCCGAGACAATGGTATTTGAAGTTCATAATGGATACTACTTCCTAAGACAGAATATTGTAATGGCATATGACAAATGTTACCTATGCAGGTTCATGTCGTCGTATAGGCCCTAATATTATAGCTAGATTCGCTATCTTTAAGATTTTAACAGAATTTTTAACGGATTTTATTGTTTTTGAGAATTGCCAAGTTCGTTCCAAATGGTGGAGGGTATTCAAAGTTCGGTCCGGCAGAACTTACGGCTTTTCTACTTATTTTTATTAAAATATATAATATTATCTGATTTGATTATATTTGAAGTCATTTTTATTTTAAAACAATGGTATGTATCAACGCACATACAATTTTATAAATACATATATTATTTTTAAAGGCGTTAGTATCATTTATCTGGGGATATATATATTTTTTTAATTTTAGAAATACAAATTCATTTTTCATATTTTACATAAGCAACATTCTACAATACGCAATTTGTTTCATAACTGGTATACCATAATAAAAATTTGCTTCATGAACCCATTCATACAGAATATGGAATGACCTGTCAGACATTTCCAATTTTTTTTTTTGCGAAGTGTGGCCTGATTCATCAATTCTTATGAATTCCGGTCAACAAAGAAAATTAATGCACGTGACCATACATATTTAGTTGCTAACAAACACGCGAATCCAATAGAATATAAAAACATGTTTGAATTAAACGACGTCAGTCAATAAACTTACTCAAATACTACAATCTCATAGGGCTATCAGATTTGTGGCATATGCGAATGATTTCGTAATTATAAAAATGTTATGTAGCAATATATAAACTTCTGCCATCCTAAAAATGATTTAACTGACATTGGATGGTGGTGCTCATTTTCTGGTGATCAACTTTCACTGGAAAAGTGTAATTATTTTCTATCCGTCAAAAGCGAAATTGTTCTCTTGGACTTGTTTGCAACAATAGCACAATTGCATCCCTTGAAAAATTAAAAATACTCGGAATTACAATTAACAACAAATAAAAATGGAACTCGCATATCGATGAATTAATTTCTCTACAAAGTAAGCTTCACATGCTTAAATGTTTATCAAACAGCACTTACATTGAATGTAACGCCTAAATTCTAACTTCTATCATTACCTCAAATAATTTACGGAATACTCCACTTTACAGGATACTCCTAAATCAAATTTGAAGAAAATCAAAAAGTCATCTATCTTAGCAGTTCGAATTGCACTCGAACCTCATCGTACAACTAGAATAACTATGGCTTACCCTTTGACAACAGAAGGCTATTGGGAAAATTCCACCGCTAAGTTTTGTAAAAAATTTTACTCAATTACAGCTAAAAACATACATTACAATTAAAATAAAAACTTTCGACATCTGAATTAGCGCTAAATCGTATAAGGAATTATTGTGATAAGTTTAAAATTCTACATAGCTGCAAACTTTTACTAGCTAAAAATCCTTTTTGGATTTCAAAATCATTACCAATGGATACATCTCTTCACAAGTATCGCAAGGAAAACACACCATCAGAATTTTATGAACACGATTTCTACGATATCCTCAAAAAGTACGAATACTATAAATTTAATTATACTGGCGGATCAAAAGCCAACAATTTTACGAGCTACAAAATCGTAACCAATGATGAAATCTTTGAATCATCTCTTGTAGCAGAATATTAATTTTTCACTGCTGAAATAATATCCATTTTT